AAATATGTGATGCATACATTAAATGCATACATATTTCCCGAAACGATAGAGGTACTATATTAATAAAAACTGCACAAAGTGCGAAGAGAAAGCAGCCAAAGGCTGAATAATATAACCAAAGACTGAAAAACTGAGAGGCAGATCCGGAGATCGCCTAGAGCCTGCTAACAACGTTAGAAAGACAAAATCGCCACAAACTAAAACCACTAACACAAACAAACTAAACAACTAACAAGGACCCCAACAGGATAATGCCCGAGTATAGGATCCCAACAGGATAATAAAGTTACACCCGGGCTCACAGAGACCAAATGGCCCAAACCAAAAATACAAGACCAAAAACAACACTAACACAGACTCAAAACAGACAAAAGCAAAAACTATTATACGATTAAATAAGGCCCTTCCCCAGCCACCAAACGAGCCTAAACCAGCAGAGAAGCAATCGACCCAAGAAGATCCCAAGCCCGAGGAACAGCTACCAAAACTGCAACAACGCCTATACAGAAGCCTAACCCAAGCCCCGAAACCATTTCAAGTCGACCCACCGCCAACCTAGAGAAACCAGATCAGCTCCACACACCAGCACTACCCAACCTCGTCTATCACCACTAGCCGAGCTCGGAGGCACCGGCCCCACCCAATCCCCAACACCAGAGAACCGGGGGTAATGAGAACTGCTCGTTCCTGCAACTCCGACATCCTGACGGAGGATGCCACAGCCGCTGGAGTCTCGTCCCACCCGCCGACCCTCACACCTCCCATCACCACTGCAAGCCACTGACGACTCGAGCCCAAGCCCCAAATTCCATACTCGGAAACCAATCCTGACACGGCAAAACCGACCAGGAGAACCTCCAAGCACCTGACCCGATGAAATTGAGTGGCAAACCATCCCAATCGAAGACCGCCGGCGTCGGGACCACCAGCCTCAGACCGAGCGCACCACCACAGTCGCACCAAGCCAGCGATCTAGGGCAGAGCAGAGCCCTCCTCGCGAAACACTACGGAAGGATCGAAAAGACGCGACGTCAGTGGAGGGCCGAGCGGTCAAGGGTGACCATTGGCCCAAACCATGTCGTTGCTGTCGCCGATCGAAAACTTTTAAAATATATGCATTAATTGCTTCCATATACACAATTCCAAATCATATTTGATATAAAGGACTCTTTCCTTTAATATTTTTTATTAACATTGGTAATAATTTCATTGATATCCATTATAATAAACTAAAAATTTAACCCACCATATAACATGTCTTGAAAAAATGTGTATTAAATATATTTCATTTTTAAAAAATATTATTTGAATATGCATGATAATATTGCAAATATAATTACAAAATAAAATCAAAAATTAATTATAGAAATTATATGTTACAATAAAATCTTATTTATAAACATTAATAACAAATCACGATGATTTCTTATTCATTTGGTGACCTACCATATACGAAACAATGTTTTACCTCATTTAATCCAAATGATTAGTTTAGAATTCTTTGATTTATCAATAGCTGAACCATTTCAATTTTTCAAAAATTATAAACCAATTTTTTTAAATATCAAAAGAAATTCAACTATTTATATTTAATAGCAAACCAATCTTTATCCTTAACCCTAATCGCCGGCATAGCTCTCCTCTCTCTCCTTCGATCTGCCTTCCTCAGTGGCAATCGAGTTCAATCCGGCAGTCGGCCCTCGACCCTCAACTGTTTGGACCCTGCTCTGGTTTTCGCGCCTGCCTTGTCACTCGCGATGGAGGATGCTTTCGACTTCATGAACGGTCTTTGGCTTCCGACGACAGTTCGTGAGGCAAGGTCGATGGCTTCTCGGGGTCGTGGTGGTGTAGTCTGGGTGCGGCTCTGTTGGCGGGGTGTAGCTCGGTCGTTTGGCGGCGTTTGGGTCGGACGGCCGGTGCTACGCAGCTGCCTTCGGCCTTCTCCCTCCTGTACTCTGGTGTTGGGTCAGTGTGGACCGGTGCCTCCATTTTCCAGCCAGTGGTGTTGGCTGGTATGGAGCTGCCGTGGTGTGGAGGGCTGTCGGCGGCATTCAAGTGGATACTCTACATCCCAAGGGTATGGCCCGAGCCATTCTTACTAGACATCTCGAGCTGAATTCGATTATACCCTTCTGGGTCATGACGAGCCACCTTACTACAATCCTCTACCTCTTAACTACTACTATCTGCCGCATCACGATTATTGGAATTCCACATCTCCACCCGAGCCGACTCAAGAGTCTTCTCTAAGCCGTTTAGGCAAAATTATGGACAAATTAAAAAAGTACAATCAATCTCTCATGTCTTCAATGGCTCCAATGTTCGAAAAAGAACAAACTGAGTTCTATGCTCCATCCTCCCATTAATCGAGCACCAATCGGTTGGCCAACTGTTGGGTTTTATAAGGAACGTTGTCGATGTACACATTCGAATCTATTAAAAATAAATCCTAACACAGTGGAATCTATAGTTAGGATTAGAACTTTCGGTTTAAATATATTTAGTATGAAATATTGTGTGATCGTACTTGTCTATATTTAGTAGGAAAAAGAAAGCGTGCATGGTGAGAGAGAGAGAGAGAGAGGAAACAATATACACTTACCACATTTTAGAGTCTATGCGTGGAAGGACGTTGACCTCAAAGGAAAAGGAATGCTACTTGGAGATGCAATATATATACATGTCTTGAAGATCAATTGAAGGCTGCTGAGAGTTTTAGAATTCACCATTATTCGAGCATTCAATTGAGAGTTCAAGAATGTTTGTTCGTAGATTTTATTTTGATAATCAATTCTTCGATGTTCTTACACCATCGAAGAACTGAGTTTGTTTCTTTTGTTTTTCGTATTTTTCTTTCAGACGATTTGCTATAGTACTTATGGCATGATTGGTATGAGGGAATGACATGGGAATGGAATGTTCATTCCCTTACTCATTCCTTATCCCATGATTGGTATACTTTTTGGAAAGGAATGATCATTCCAATGGGAATTGCAAAACTCATCTCCATGGGATTAGCCATTCCATATCAAATGCAAGGTTTTCTCATTCTCATATGTGTAGGAATCATTTTCTCAAAAAATAAAATTAAAAAAGAATAATAATAAATAAATTTATAATATATACTATAAATTATGATTAAATTATATTAAATAAAATAATTCCAAAAAATAAATTTTAAATAAATAATTTAAAAACTTATTTTTATTTATTGTTCATATTTCAATTAGATATATTAAATACTTATACAACAACAACAAGCCGTTATAATCTTACTAAGTGGGGTCGGCTATATGGATCGCATGTCGCCGACTCGCCATCGTGCTCGATCAAAACACACATCAACATTCAAATTTAAATATGTAAAATTATTTTTCATTATTCTCTTCCAAGTTTTATTTGGTCTATCCTCACACTTTTGATTTACGTTCTTATTCTAATGTTTTTAAGTCTCTCCCACGCACATGTCCAAACCATCTTATATAAAAATAAAACTAAAAATGCATTTATAAATACTTTAAAAAGATATTATTTTATTTCTATAAATTATATGTATTATAAATTTATTCATAAATTGAATTATAATATAAAAAATTATATTCGACTGCATATGCTTATAGGGGTTTATGTAATGCTATATTTGTATTTGCTAATATGTATAAAAATACACAATTTATTAATTTATTATATAATATATATGTTTGTAAAAATACAAAAATATCTTTATTAAAATATAATATATTTTTTAAAAAATTAATTTTATTATTACCATAAATAAAAAAAATAACATTAATATAAATACTAATTTATTTTATATAAAATAGTCATAAATGATAATATGGAATGATATTGTCATTCCATTCAGGTCTAATTCTTTCTGATTACCAAACACATCAATGGAAAACTGGTTCCACTCCATTATTCAACTCATTCCATTCCTATCAAATTTCATTCCATTGTATCAATCATGCCATTAGGGTTTAAGTATTGATTTGCTCGAGGGACTCGAGTTTGTAACATCCATGGGGTGTAGCCAGAGAAGTAATTGGTATGATCGAGTATAGTTTTAGCTAGGCTAGAAGGGAATTCTAGTTGCATAAATCCAAGTTGTAGGACCGTGCACAATCGATCTATTAATGAAAGATTTCTGAGGAGTAGTGAGACGCTCCCCGAAGAGTTTTTGTCTCTTGATTGTGCTTCCGCAATATTACTTATTTTGGTATTGCAATACAACTTTAAAATCTAATATTTACGTGTTCTGACACAGTTTAGCGCACTTGTTATAGTATACCCTCGTTTAAAAAATTATCCAAGAGGGAAATATATATGGAAAATGATACATTGTCAACCTAGTGTACAACTAGGTCGACAACACAAGTGAAAATATCCAAAAAAAAAATAAAATACACAAGTAGATGTTTTCACTTGTGTTGTCAACCTAGTTGTACACTAGGTTGACAATGTAACATTTCCCAATATATATATGAGCTTGAAGTCCATTACGTGACTCAAGCAATTCCATGAAACAATTAGTTCCAATTATTATTTTTATTTTTTATATTTAAACTTTTTTTTATTTATTAAAGAAGTAGTGTTTCATCACTAATATTATTGTTTTCAGCAAGACTTACTAGTGTTGATGAATTGTTTTACTAATACATGTTCAAATATTTTTATTTTAAAATACGTATTATTACATCCTTTGTAAATAATTACGATAAATCCAACGCGGTGTCATATTTTGGCTCAATAGCTAGCAAAACTGCACACATTAATTCTTATCCACACTCATAACCAGATTTCTTAATCCTCATCATATTCACACCATCCACATTAATAGCGCAATTTAAAGCAAGTTTATCAACCGAATCTAATTAATCCACCCACTTATGAGAATCAATTTAAAATTCACTCAAAACCCTGCACTCTTGCATTATAAATAGAGTCCAAAGTATCTTAGTCTCTCATTTCAAAAGGATATAAGAATTTCACAACCATAATAATAATAATAATAATAATTAATTAATTCAAATTCTATCCCAACATCGCATTATGTATAGAAAAGTGGAGAACAGGGCCGTAATGATTTTTGGCTTGTTGGTCTTTTTGGCAGCCGAGCCGATGGTCGGAGCCATCAGCTGCCCTGACGCCATAACGAAGCTGATGCCGTGTCAGCCGTTTCTGCTGGATATAGGCAGCAGCGTGAGTGTCCCGTGCTGCGAGGGAGCCCAATCGTTGAGCCAGCTGGTCGGCTCCAAGCCCGAGGAGCTGAAAGCCGCGTGCAAGTGCCTGAAACAGGCGGCTGCAGCCATGGGAGTCGACGTGGCAAGAGCAAAACAGATTCCCGATCTATGCAGGGTCGCTGTCCCAGTGCCCATCGATCCTAACGTCAATTGTGACAGGTTAAAATTAATTAAAATGAATAAAAAAAATTGAAAATAAAAATCTGCTTAGCCCAATAATATTCATTAGAATTTTAGATGTTGCTTAATTAGTTAATTATATATTTTTTTAGGGCGGAGTTATGGTTGATGATTGATTCCTGCACATTTATATAATACACTGTATTTAATTCTTAGATAAGTTAGTTAATCGCATATATATGATATATCGTATGAATGGTTTTTTTGCAGCCTGTAATGCGTGATGGGAGTGAAGGGAGGGGAGTTATGGTGGAGAGAGGACGAGAGGAAATACTCTAATTAATAAAATGAGGAGATTTGTACTAGTAGCTTAATTTGTATTATCTTATTATGTGCTTATTTGCTCTAAACTGTTTGATTTTTCCAACCAGGAATATATATGAAGAATATTGGGTTCCTAAATAAGTTACTCTGCTTTAAAAACATAAATCAATCGAGAAAAAAAAAATAAATAAATAAAAAGTGTGATTACAAAGTGATGGATCGTTTGCGTTTATATAAAAACTAATTCAGATAAATATTCATTGAATTAAATTTTAATGTTTCTCAATCCCAAGCCATGAAAAATTAACATGTGGAAATATAGTCATTGTTTTGAAAACTGGATCGAGCTTTCCGGTTGGTCCGAGAGCCAGTCATATGACCGATCGATCCTCCTAAAAACACCGATTGCCAAAGAATTGGTCGGTTGAACCAGTTTACTGTTTTATATTTATTTAGAAAAAATATTATTTTTGAATTTATTTTTTAGTCAAAATCTATATGCATATATTTTGGATATGCATAAAATTATTATACAATCATTTGGGCGTTTGTCTATTTCAAATTGTCTAAATATATAATTAATAAATTTATATATAATTTCTTATTCAAATTATTATATAATATTTTAAAATTATAATAAATAAGTGCAAGTGTAAGAACCCAAATATGGTGTCAAACCACGCAAAGGCCCAAGCTTGCACAAATTTCTTACCTCCAAACAACCACTAATTCCATTTAAACAAAAGAGTGATAGAAAAAGAAAAAACTAACAGTTACATATCAGTTCTTGGTGAAAGCAACATCCACTACTTGCGTTTATTGGTTTAATGCTTGCATTTGTGAAGTTTTGATAATATACTATGCATGATGCATATTGCCTTCAGATTATCTTGAATTTTTCCCAGGATTTTTCCTTGCTTGTGTTCATCAATATCATAAAATCATTGAAGATTACATGTCCATATATTTGTCTGAACACATGTTGAGAAAACCCTTAATTTTTATCTTGTGTGTTTGTAGAATTTCCATTCTGTGTTTTGGGGTTCGACGATTAGTTTTTCGACCAATTGATTTTCTTCAATTCAAATATATTTTTTTTCAACCGAAGATGAAAGGTTGTTTGAATCAGAGTACAGGAATCTCGAGAGGGCGCCTCACCTACTTGTTCGATCATGCCATCTGCTTCACAAACTAGAAGGGCAGGCACGGACACCTCCCTAAACTACGACGCCGCTATGCGTTTGTTATGTGGTCTGAAAGCGAAGACGAACTTAATTGATGTTTATTGATAGTTTGATTATGATATAATGATTATTTTTCTTAATTTTGATTTTATTGTAATTTATATTTAGTATATGTATAGTTGATGATGTTTCAATCTAGCTATGAAGAAATGTTTTCGGATGCTTGATTTGATTTATTTATGTTGTGGAAGATTAAGCTTAGTTATGTTTATTAATAGTTTATGCTTGGTATATATTAATAGATTTTTTTTTTTTTTCTATATTATAGGATTTAAGAGCACAAACCTATAATATACTACAAATAAGCTAAACCTAAATTTAGAGAATAAAAAGTTCATAAATTTATAATAAAAATGTATTTTGATATAGGATGTCATACCAGATCGTTTCAACCCGAGAAGTTGACCAACTGAACCGGATAAACCACCAGGTAGATCGGAGGCTGAAGGCTAAAAGAGTCGAAGGTGGCATCGTAGGCAATGCAGAGCACCAACAGGTTGAGCTAGGGATCTTAGAATGTCTGCTAGAAACTCGACTTGAATATTTTAAGTTCAGCGGATCGACTTTGCAGACAGAGCGCGAGCTCAATGAAGAAGGCGTCCTACCTCAAGGTGAATCAGATTAGTCGCGTAATTAGACATTTGATAAAGAAGACTAAGAGATAAGAATGAATAGTATTAGGATAAGAACCACACGTGGATTACACTACATGGGCTAACATAATTGGGCAGTTCGGGCACCTGGATAGTACGAACGGGAAGTTCGGGCAGTTGGGCAGCTCATTCGGGCAGGCTTAGGCAACAAGACACCACCAAGGTGTGGTATGGTAATCCGAAATCTACACACTCTCGATATACTTTATATTTAAAAAGTTTTACATTGTGGACTGATTTGATCGTCAGAGTACTAACTCTGGAAACCCCTCCTGACTTATTTTGCAGGTCTACGAGCAGGTCAAAAAGCAAAACCGAGTTGTACAAGATTAGGCAGGACGAGATCTTTACATAGCATATTCCTTCATGTAATTCTTTTAATTTCAGTATTTATGAAACAACCTTTCAAAAGTTTACGTATAGATGTAAATTAGGCAAGTTTACGTATAGATGTAAATTAGCCAAAATAAAATAGTTTGAAGTGTGGTTTTTTAGGGTGTGGATATTTAGTTGAATGAGTTTATTATGTATTTAATTTATTCCAGATTTTATGTATGTGTAAATTAAAATTATTTAAATACATAAATTAATTGATATAATAATCTATACATATTCAACGTATTTAAATATGTATTTTTACTTTACTCGAATAATTTTGAATAACTATTCTTTTTAGATAAAATGAATTAATCCTACTTGTAGTATTTTTACCGGTTTTATTACCTTATTTACTTAAACAACTAGTTTTGTGTCTCGTGTGATGCACGAGTAAATGATAGTAAAATTATTATTATAAAATGCTTTTTTAATATTATTAAATTGTGTATAGCACGGATACCGTACTAGTATACTAATAAGTATCTTGAACTAACATACGAGGACAAATAAACAAGATATTTCCAAATTGGTCCCTCATTTTGGCCTTTTTTGACATCAGATACCCTCCATCTTCCCTGCTCAGTGCTGACTTTCTTCAGTTTTCCGCAAGCTCAATGTTCTCACTCGCGGCCAAACCAGAAAAAGTCGCCCGCATATTAAATTCTTGAGCGTCGATATAGATTTCTCTAGGCGCACACCAGCTCATAAACGGATTTCAGTTGCTGGCGTTGACAAACTGGTTAGAAAATGGCGGTTTCCATTTCTTCATCTATGGGTTCAGGGGTTTTGATTCCGGCACCTTTTTGTGGGAAGGCCAAGGGCATAAGTTTTTCTTCGGTCCTGTTCAGTTCTGTGGATGTTTTTCGTCGGAATCGTTTTGCTTCAAAAAGTCATGGCTCATCTTTGCAATCATGGGTTTCAAGGTACGAGCAAGTTCTTCTACGGTTCTCCTTTTCCATGTGCAGATTCTGGTGATTGATTAATTTTCCTCTCTTTCTTGTCCCGGTTTAGATTGTCTGTTGAGAGTATGTTTTATTGATTTGAATTTCGTAATTGAAGTGTGATTGTTAGTAAAAAATATGGAAAGAATCTGAATATAAATTAAGTTGCCCCACCGTCATTATATTCGATTTTGCCATCAAATTACCGGAAAAAAGACAACAGACCTACGCTTCAACTGTCAATGGAGATATTTGATATCTGATTATCCATGAACGTAGTTGACTTTTTTCTTTTCTATTTTTTTTATGTGCCAAATGGGTTTTCTGTGATATTCTAAGTTGAAATTTCTGAAGTCACTGTTTTGAATGTGGGTCGTTCATCAATAGCTTTTACTTGCTCAACTGAATGGAAGAAACAACAAAATGATTGATTCTTTAATCTTGCCGATGTCTTTTATGTAATCAAATATTTTCTCTGATTTGTATATTTATGATTGAAAGGAGGAGGCGGGCTAAAGTTCACGCAACAATATTGCAAGAGGATGAAGAGCAAATGGTTGTAGAGAAGTCATTTGATCCTAAAAGTTTCCCGGAAAAGGAAAAGGAAGGAACCTCTGGTGCGTATGATGGGTCGCCAACTTCCAGTGGTTTGGAGAAATGGATTATAAAATTTGAGCAATCTGTAAACATTTTTCTCACGGTATGTATTCCTATTTTATTTTCTTTAGTTGTACAGGATTTTGAAAAACTTGTTGTTACTGACATTTTGTTAATGTAACAAATGCTAGTTTGTTTGAAAACCCCTTCCTGATCCAGTGCTGTTTGGTATATTGTAACTTTGTCCATTTCTGATTGTATGATCATGTTTTTTGATGGTTGCAGGAGTCAGTGATAAAGATCCTCGATGGTTTGTACCATGACCGTCATTATGCAAGGTTTTATGTTCTGGAAACTATTGCAAGGGTTCCTTATTTTGGTAATGATTCTATTTTGCATCACAATCTTTAAGATAGTTCGAGAATTAGAATTCAATATCATCAACTGGTAGTATTCTTCAACATTTTCAACACTTCTGGAAATGTTTTAAGACTGGGAAAGTTTAGGATGAAGGTAGTATAAGAAATGTGGAGTTTGGTGTCAAAGTTTACAATTTATTTTCTTTTGTGGAAAATTAAATATTCGATATCCTATGTGATTTTTGGGGACTAATTTGCAGCTGTACATAATGTATTTCCAATTTAGTTCACCTGTTGATGAGAAGTTGTGCATCTCCTTTTGTGTTGTGGCAGCCTTTATGTCTGTACTTCACATGTACGAGAGTTTTGGGTGGTGGAGAAGGGCTGACTATCTGAAAGTCCATTTTGCTGAGAGTTGGAATGAGATGCATCATTTGCTTATCATGGAAGTAAATACTCTTCCTCCAAATCTCTTTATCTCCAGTGTTGTTAATAGCTAATCATTATATGACTATGTATTTATTCTTTTCGGTAACGATCATCATTAGCATAGCCAGTTATGTGAGACAATAAGCTCGTTATTCTATAAACTTATAGGCATATAAATTAAAGGATCTTATCCTGGTAACCTGTAGACAAGGTTTGATTTGAGGAATGTGATTTTTAGATGGTTTATAGCAAATATGACATTATGAAAAGAATTATGAAACTTATGTTTTGCTTGCTAAGTGGCTGCATATCTTATCCGTATCACCCCTTTTCTCTCTTTTGCAGGAATTAGGGGGAAATTCCTGGTGGGTTGATCGGTTTCTTGCCCAGCACATTGCTATATTTTACTACTTCATGACTGCTTTCATGTATGCTTTGAGCCCAAGAATGGCATGTAAGTATAAATTTGATGCTCTGATAATTGTTTGTATAGCAGGTCATCTATCTGCTACATGGCTACTTGTGTAGAACTTTTATAGTCAAATTCTCATATGTCAATAAGTATAGTTCATATAGAAATGCAATATTGGTAAAATAACTTCATTCAAAAGTATATGACTATTCAGTGGTTTCTTTGGACATTAGACTAAGATCTAGTCTAGTCATTCTCAAAGTCAGGCAGTCTGTCATGCCCTATTTTACGTATTTCTAACACCTTATATCATATAAATTACGTTTTTTTTTTTTTTTTAATTGCACAATTTGTAGGTTGGTTATCATTCAGAGCTCTATATTTTCTATGGTCCTTTCTTTTACCTGGAGTTTATAATGAAAGGATTTTTTGATTGACAGCATTTACTTTTCACAGATCACTTCTCTGAATGTGTTGAAAGTCATGCATTTGAGACTTATGATAAGTTTATCAAGACTCAAAAAGGTACGAGATCTGCAAGATGCATACTTCTAAATTCTAATTTCTCCATATACATCCACACATCTCATTACCAATTTGTGTCAATCAATCAGAACAACAATGATTAATAACAACAAGAGAACTATAATAAAAGAGAAGTAGAGAAAAGTAATAATCACAATGGATATATGAATAAAACAGAATGTAAAAGATAGAGAAAAGTGATTAGACTTCTCATATTGTTTTAACCTTTGTGATAAAATCATGTCTAGATTAATCATTCAGTTAGAGAACTTTTTAGCTATCCAGTATGGTAGTGTTCTCCAATTTTTTCATTTAAAATAAAAGAAGAAAACAAAGTGTAGAAGAAGAGAGGGGTGTGCTTGAGAGGAAAAGATAAATAATAACCCAGTTGTCCATTTCAATAATCAGTCTAATACAAATCATAGTAGGAAATACGCCAAAATCAAATAAGCTACTATTCTCTCTCCAAATATATCCCAAAAAGTAATGTTCTTCAAAAATAAAAATTATTAAGTCTTCTAACTGTCTTTCCAATTTATCCGTTCCTTCTTCCAACTCGTAGGAAATAGGCGTGTCCACTGAAATTGCACTTTTTCACAAACTCCAAGATTTCCTACAAAAAAAAAAAATATGAAAATCAAATAAAATTCAAAATTAAGCTCAAACAAACTTCGAAAGAACATGGAAAAGACAACATTTTGTATGTTACGAATGCAACTTATCCCACTTTGTTTCCATATTGTTACTCACCTACTTTTTTTCCCCCTATAATGCTTTGTTCCTAATATCTTTTATCGCATCTGTAGATGAGCTAAAGAAATTGCCGGCACCTGCAGTTGCAGTGAAATATTACACAGAAGGTGACCTGTACTTGTTTGGTGAGTTGAGTTTTCGGTTCTTTTCTTTTCTTTTTTTTTTCCCTTTGAAGATGTATTACTCACCGAAAATTTTTGTAATTGGATACTGCTTTCCCAGATGAATTTCAGACTTCAAGACCTCCCAATTCTAGAAGGCCGAAAATTGGTGAGTATTTCACAAAGTGAATGTTTTTATGTTCCTCTTTCCTTGTCCACTTTGTCTTATATATACAAAACTAGTTACAGAGCCAGGCAATTCAACTCTGAACGTAATTATTTTACCAAAATGTGAAATTGTGATGCAGGAATATAACTGTTTCT